CCGGCCCCGGGACCGCGCGCGGCGGCAGAGGCCGTAACTTGCACTGCTTTGGTTAAAGCTAAGGACGGGGGACAGTCTGGAGGCTATTTAAGAAAAACACTTGAAAACTTGAACAGATTTTTTTTTAATTTTATTTTTCCGTTAGTTCACTAGGCTGCGCATCCTCGCTGTGGGCTGCTACCCAGGGCCTCCTCGGCACCCGGCTCCGATGCTCCCTGCGCAGGGAACCCGCTCCCCGGCCCCACGCATCGGGACAGGCCCAATCCCAACGTTTCCAGGGGTGCTTCTTTTTCATTCTTTTTTTCTTCCTTTTTTTCCCATTATTTTTTCCCATTCTCATTTCTGTTCTGGAGGCAACTTGCAGGTGAGAAGGAGCAGACCCTCCTCTAACCTCCAGGCCCGGAGCAGGCCCTGCTCTGCAGACTTCCCTTTTCTTTTCTTTTCCAACAGTTTCAAAACATTCATTAGGGTCCTTTCTTCAGTGCGTGTAATTATGTGTTTTAATAGATTTATTAATTTTTAAAAAAGGAAAAGACATCATGGAAAAGACAAAGTGTTTGGATGTTTAAAAGAGAAAAGAGAAACCCGCCCCAATGAAACCCAAGGTGATTGTGCTCGGAAGGAGGTACTGTATCCCTAAAAGGCCTGTTCAAGCACTAAGTGCATTTACAAATCTCTGAGAATGTTTTTTTTTATACTAAAATCGACCATTATATTCTACTGTGAGAAGTGCTGGCTGCACTATATTGTTTTAAAAATGAGAGAAAACAGCAAAAAAAAAAAGAAAAAAAAAAGAAAAAAAAAAAAACACACACAAAACCTGCAAGCTGTGTGTCCGGATGTTGTTTTTCCCAAAGTAAAACCAGGCTGTCATGGACGTGTGCTCTGGGTTTTGTTTGCTTGCTGTGTCCTGCCGGCGGGACCATCCCGCTCCCGGCTCCGGTCCCTTCCGGAGCGGGATGCTCCGTGTGTACGGTGCAACCCGCTGTGTCCCTGCTCAGCCGCAGGGAATGGCGCGGGGCTGGGGATGCTCTGGGTCTGCAAATGCCTCTCCATTAAATAACGTGGATGATTCCCAAGGGAGGCGCTGTGGGAAACCCGGAGCCACCCCGATGGCTTGGGAGCACAGCAGAGAGATGGGCGGTGTGAATTGCACCGCTGCAAAATGACTTTTTTTTTTTTTAAAAATCTCTCATTCTGGCTGATGGTATCTTTGCAAATGAAGCCTTGGATTTAGCTAAAAATAAATGCACGGAGGGTGGTGAGTGCCTCCCTCTGCCCGCCGTGGGTTCATCCCCTCCCCACGGGGACCCGCCGTGGGCCCAGAGTGGAGCCAAAGGCTCCCATAAAACCCGCTCACACGCGCCCTGCACCATTTGCATGGGGAAAAGCCGGCCTTACTTGCAGATCAGCTGGAAAACCCCACTTTTTGCAGCTGATGTCAATGGCACAGGGGCTTTGTGCCCCTCTCAAACAGGTGGAAACCTGGATTGGCCCTAGGTGAGAGCGAAGCGGCTCCGTTCCCAGCTCCATCCTGCGGGAAGTCGCCCAGGCTACGTGTGGTGCTAATGCAGCGTCCGCGTTCGCCCCCCGCTTCCCCGGATCCTGCCAGCGCCGGGAGAGAGATGGATGTAAGTGACGTTTAAGGGGGGCCGGTGCCGTTACGGCGCTGGGCACGGGGCTCCAGCGGGACGACCCTGGGCAAAGCAGGAGCATCACGGAGCATCGCGAGGGCCTGGCCCCTGGCCTGGAGCTGGGCCCTGCGCCCGCTTGGCTGCCTGGATGGGCTGGATCTGGGCATTGTGCGGTGTGTGGTGCCCTCCAGCGGAGCCCGGGCCCAGCGACACTGCAGCTCTGCGCAGCCATGCACCGCGTACGGCCCTGCACAGCTCTGCACAACCGAGCACCACGTACAGCTCTGCACTGTGCATAACCGTGCACCATGCACAGCCCTGCACAGCTCTGCACTGTGCACAGCCATGCACCGCGTACAGCCCTGCACAGCTCTGCACAATCGAGCACCACGTACAGCTCTGCACTGTGCACAACCGTGCACAGCCCTGCACCGTGCACAGCCCTGAACCACGCACAGTCCTGCAAAGCTCTGCACAACCATGCAGCTTGCACAGCTCTGCACAGCCCTGCACCACGCACAGCCCTGCACCGTGCACAGCCCTGCACCGCGTACAGTACAACCCTGAATTGCGCACAGCCCAGCACCATGCACAGCCCTGTACCACGCACAACCATGCAGAGCTCTGCACCATGCACAGCCCTTCACCATGCACAGCCCTTTGCAGCTCAGCAAACCAGCATGTCCCAGCCCTGCACAGTCCTGGCCACTATCAGCCTGCTCCAGGCGGGCACCTGGCCTGGCTCAGCACAGCATGGCATGGCACAGCACCCGTCTCCATGCAGGGCCCTAGCTCCTGCCTCGCCCTGCACTCAGGGCCGCATCAGTGACGGATGTAGAGACACGGTGGCTGCAGCTCTGCCTTTATTGCTAAATAAATAGTCGTACAAATGTTGTGCAAAAACGTGAACAGCATCGGCCCTGCAGCACCCGCCCGCCCGCCCACAACCGCGGTGCCGAGTCCTGGCACAGCAGGGCATGGCCCCGGCACGGCCTGGCACAGGCCGGGCTGCGCCCCCAGGAGCCATGGAGG